TCCCAGTCCCCCCAAGGTAACCCCTCCTCTGACCCCCTCCAGGGGGCGGGTTGCCTGGTTTTGACTTTAGGTGGGATCTCTGCGTGCTTTCTCTGCCAGGCCCAGCTCTTCACTCAACACAGGGCTCCTCGGGGACTGACAGCGTGGTGTCAGTGGCCTGTGTCTGTGTGCCTCTCACTTCACTCACCCAGCCTGCCATGATGGGGACTTCTCCATGACACTTGTGTTGTGCAGCAGTTCGTTGTCTCTCGGCTCCATTCACCCTTTTCTGGTGACGGAGAAAGTGGATCTGGGCCCTTTGAATGTTTTCCCTGTGTGGTCCACCCTGCGGCTGGTTGGCACAGGGTGCTAGAGAAGTAGGGGAGAGTCTTCCCCTCCTGGTCCAGGGCCCTGGCTTAGCAGGCAGCAGCACCTAGCAGAGAGCGCCTCCCCCAGGGACGCCCCCTGGTGGTTTTGTAGCAGAGCCCACCTGCCAGACAGCATTCCCGGGCCACCAAGAGGGCAGGTGCCTGGTGAGTTGCAGAGGTTGGAGGTCAAGTGCTCTGCTGATGTGGCTCCACAGGGACTTCCCCTCCCCGTCATTGGAGTGGATGTGCCTGTCCAGCAAGCCCCGGGGCTCAGCCTGCGGTTGGGGGGCTTTTCCTTGGGGGCTTGATTTCAGCCCTGGGGCCAGTGGCTTCTTCCTGTGTGCTTTAGAGTTCTCTGTGCTTTTTTTTTTTTTTTTTTACTGTTGATCTCTTATTACTCAAATCCTTTATTAGAGTAAACAATTCCCTTTTCAAATGACTGTGTGGTCTCTCTCTCCTGTTCAGGCCCAGACTCAAGGAACTATTTTTGGAAAGTAGGAGCCATGTTGCTGTGAACGACTCCACCGTGTCTCTGGGTGGACATGGGCAGTGTAGGCCTGGTTGCTGGGTCACAGCACTTAGGTCCACTGCTAAAAAGGACACGGCCCTACACAGCGCTGTCTTACTGCCCGTGCCCGCGGGTGCGGGAATAGACCTCACCGCTTCATGTTCTTGGCAGCACTTGGAGTTGTCTCCAGTTTCATTTTGGTCATGCTCATGGGTGACAGTGGTGTTTCAAGATTGCTTTGTTCGCCTTTCCCTGATGACTTGTGGTGCTGACCTTTCTTGGGCATGTGACTGTTTGGGTATCTTCTTTTTGTGAAATATCTGTTCACAATTTATTTTTGTAAAATGGTGGGTGTTTTGCTCCTTTTCTTAGTGATTTGTAGAGATCCTCTACATGTTTGGATAGTTGTCCTGTGTCAGATGTAGGGGTAGCACATGTATCATCCCAGCCTGGGGTGTGTGTGTAGTGTGTGTGTGTGTGTGTGTCCTGTTTAAAATTAATGAACCAGTCCAAGATCAGAGAGTGCTTCTTCCAGAAGTCTTACTGTCATACCTTTCAGCTTTAGTTATATAACCTCTCTGGGTTTGATTGTTTCGTGTGGCATTAAGCCCATCTCTCCCTACATGGACATCCAGTTGCCACCACGCTCTACTGAAAGATGGCTCCTTTGGTTATTGTGATGTGTTTGTTGTTTGTCAGGAGAAGCGTTATGAGGGGGTCTGGGGACCCCGCGTGGGAGTGGGTCCTCTAGTGTAGATCTTTGCCTATCCCTCTGACAGTTTTCTTAGAGAGGTCGGATGCTTGCGTCCCTTGTAAAGCAAGCTGTTGGACTCTGCTAATGACAGGTAGATAGCCTCGACTTTCATCTGAGCAGCTTAGAAGTACCCCCTGGGCTGTGTGGCTAGGGACTCCGCCTCCCGCCTCTGCCCGCTCTTCGGTGGTATGTGGGTGGCTTCCGACTCCTCTTCGTGATTGGCACCTCTTCTGTAAGCACTCCGAGAACCTTTGCCACCTCGACATCCCAGGCTGCCCTTGAACATCCTTGACAGCTGCCCAGGAGAGGCGGGGGCTCCCTGCACGCACCGGAGCGCGCCAGGGCCCACAGGCCACGTGCACTCAGAAGGCTTTATACGGGAATTGGCCACACAGCTGTGGAGGCTGGAAAGTGCTCAGGCCTGCTGCTGTCAGCACGCTGGAGGTCCAGCTGATGGTGTAGGTTCCAGTCCCAAAGCCAGCAGCCTGAGACAGAGCACAGCTGACGTTTCCCTTCAGCTCTGAGGCAGGAAGAGCCTGATGGAGCGCCAGCTCCTGGCAGGAGGGAGTCCCTCACTGGGGAGGCCTGTCCTTTTGTCCTCCTCCGGCCCTCAGCTGAGTGATGGATGCCACCACCCCCACTGGGAGGGCCATCTGCTCCCCTCCGTCCACCAATTCACATGCCGTCTCACCCTCCCACTTCTCCCAGACCTGGCCGTGGGTAATGTGTGACCCAACATCCTGGCCGGGTCATACAAAATTGATACAGAAAATTAACCATCACACCACAGAGTTGCACAGCCTCCTGACCCTCTGGGGCCGAGTCCAGCAGCAGGGAGCTGGACATCAGGCTGGGGTTGCCACCATGTGGACCTGGGCCACTCTGAGGGTCTCACTGAGCACCGCTGCTCTGTGATTGCTTGGGTGGGGGGCACTGGGGTGGCCTGCTGTGGCTCACCCTTGGAGAGTCCTTCCCCTTGCTTGATCCCAGGGGCAGACCCAGGGTTCACAGTGTCTGCAGCCTAACAACTCGGGCAGAGGGCCATCTTCTTTAAAAAAGAAAACAGTGGCGGCCAGCAGCCCTGGGCCTCGGCTTCCCTAATCTCATGGAAAATGGACCTCCAGCCTGTCTTTCCTCTGTAGGGCCCAGGCTGGCCTCGTGATTGGACTTGGCTGTGTGCTCTGCACAATGGACCTCTTCCCTTCAGATCTAAGAGGTGACGCCCCACCCTTCTTGAATGGAACTTTCCAGACCACCCCTCTGGTCTTCTAGTCCTTGACCATGTGGACTTCCCATCCCTCTATCTCTGTGGACTGTAGCTGTAGGTCAGGCTTAAGGCTGGGTCTCCCCATCAGGCCTGGGAGGGTGCTGGACCCTCCTCCATGTGCTGTGGGGTGAGGACGCTGACTTCAGGGTTCCCTTCAGATAGCCCTTCCCTGACCTCAAACACAGCCCTCTGGGGCATAGGAGAGGTGCAAGACACGCCCCTGCCCTCCAGGCTTGCCCTCCAGGCACTCCCAGAGGGCACAGTGCTCCAGAGGCCAGCAGGTGGGAGCGGGGGCTGCTTTTGCGTGTGATTCCTGGGCGAGCTGAGGCTCTGGATGTGCTCACAGGTTACAGAGCAGAGCCTGGACGCACAGCCTGCTGGGGGGACTGTGCCTACGTTTCTGGCCGGCCAGGCTCACAGCCCCGTCCAGGTGTGCTTCAAAGTGAGGCTTCCCTAGCAGACTTGGCTACTGTTCATGGCTGTGTCCCAGGTAAGGCGGAGTGGCGTTATGCTCTGGTCCCCTGCCTCCCAGCCAGCCCGGGATCGGCCCTCTGGAGGCACACACTGCTCCTCCCAGAAGCTGCAGTTTCAGTGCTAACTCTGTGCCTCCCCGAATCCACTTGTTAGCAGAAGCTCTGTCCTTGTTCCTGATGCCAGTCCAATAATGAGAACATGGTTTTGAGAAAAGGGGAAAAGAAGTTTTATTTCTTGGCTAGTAAAGGAGAAACACAGAGGACATCTGTCCCAGAGCTGTGACTCTGCCCATCAGGGGGAGCAGAGGGCTTTTAAAGGGGTGCATCAAAGACTGCATTCCAGGTGTGCTGGGCCAGGGGTCCTCACTCGATCGTGGCCCCGAGAGAGAGCCGTTTCTGAGATGTGCTGCCGGGCCAGTCCCGAGGTCCGGATTACTGTATCCCCCTGGTGTGTGGATGAGACTTCTTTTTCCCTCTTCTCAAAACCATGTTCTCCCCTAGAAATAAGGGTGATCTTGTTTTCCCCAAGGTTAGGGCGGCGGGGGGTGGAGAGGAGAGAGTCAACCAACACACACAACCGCTGTCAGTTTTAAAATAATCTGCAGTGGCAGAGCAACAGGGGCCATGCCCCAGCACAAGGGACCCCTATTGCACACCCTCGGTGGAAGGCTGGGTACCTGGTCCTCAATCAAAGATGCAGGTGCTTTGTAAACGGGATCTCCAGCTATAACTTTGGAGGTGATTTCTGGGTCACTCCACTTTAGGCAGAAAAAAATATCCCAGCTGCTCGTGGAAACAGAGGACTCCGCTGAGCTCTGGCCAGTTGGGCTTGGCACCCACCCTGACCCCAGGATGCCATCTGATACCCAGCCAGAGGCCAGTGCAGTGAGGGGCATGACTGTCCGTCCTTGGGAACTCAGATCCACAGGAAGGGTCTTGAGAAAAGGTCCACTGGCGATGACAGCCTAAGGGTCACCATTGAAGCCACCTGCTGAGTAGAGCCAGTTATCCAAGAAGGAAGCAAAGTAGAAAAGCCCCCCCCCCCCGCCCCGCGTTTGGTTTTATGTTTCTCCCTAAAGTGTAGGGGGGATGCGGTCAGGTCCCCACCCCAATGACCTACATATCCTGGCCATGCAGGTGGATGATCTCACAAAGAAAGACAGACAGAAAGGGGGCACTCCCGCATCCCGGGGCACGGAGCAGACCGCTTCCTGCTTCCCTTTGTCTCTGGCAGGGATTCCTCTTGGGTCACCAGGGCCTCCAGCTGGACAGGGACTCGGTGTCCTCTGAGCAGAACAGGAGCTTGGCCAAGTCTGCCTCAGGAGAAGTTCCCTGAAGAGTGAGCTGGTTCCAGAAGGCTCTATGATTGATTTATTGGTTTCATTTTTTTTTTTTGGTACCGGAGATAACCCAGGGTTGTTGAACACCCAGCCACACCCCCTGTCCTTTTCTGTATTTTATGTAGAGACAGGGTCTTTCTCAGTTGCTTAGGGCCTCGATAAGTTGTTGAGGCTTTGAACTTGTGATCCTCCTGCCTCAGCCTCCCGAGCTGCTGGGATTTCAGCTTCATTTCTTTTAGAGTTAGTGTATTTAGAGTTTTGACTTAATGAAATTTTGAGGTACTCTGTGGCATCAAAATGACTCCCCACCGTTTCAGTCCACCAGCTTCTTTTCTTGATGGCCCTCTGGCCTCTCACTCAAGATGATGTTTTTTTTTAAAGTCATAGCCTCTGAATTGGGGATTGATGGATTTCTTACCTCTGTTAAATTCTTGAAGCATCAGCCATACAGTCTGCTCCACAGATAAGGTAAAGTGTTAGAAGCTGGACTACAGGTCACCAGGCCTCGGTTGGAAAGCTGTGAGGAGCCATCCATTAGACCTGGAAGGATGCGCAGCCATCTGCACGTCGTTACTGTTGACGGGCGGATGGGTGGTGGGCTTTGTTGGCTTCAACTGTACCCATTCCACAGGCGATCACAGTGAGGTGGGAGTGAGTGGGGTGCACATGCTCAGGGTCACACAGGTAGGTGACAAAGTGGGACTACAGATACAGCAAGCCGTGAGGACCTGCCGGTGAGGCGTGGGTGACTTGAACACTGTTCTTTTTTCCTAGTGATTGCTGAGAGACCGAGTCATCCTTTTGACAAACGAGTCAATCCCGGCACTGGGCTGCGTGGAAAGTCGTACGGACAGCGCTTCATGATGGATTTCCTCTTGGCTTCTGCCCCGTGACTCTGCTTTCAAACCAGAGATTCTCCGACCCAGCGAACGTGAGTTCCCTGCTTTCTTCATGTTATAATGTCAACATGCACCATCCCGAACTCGGGAACAGCAGAGACCAGGGGGAGAAGAGGAGAGAAAACCAGATAGGAGATGTGAAAAGGCAGCGTAAGAAAACGAATCGCAACCCCCTCCCCGAATCCCGGGTAGTGTGCTCCTCAGACGCAGATGGGTGTCCTCTGGGAGTGGGTGGCTAGGTAGAGGAGGCGGTACCCAGTGCCCGCGTCCAGGCGTGGGCGTGTGGTTCCCAGTCCTGCAAGCTACTTCCCACCCGGGGTAGCGGGGGCAAGGCTGAAGACCTGCTGAGGACCTGGTCCCAACACCTTGGACACAAACCCCTGACTCCCGGAGGCAAAGGGCTGGCCAGCTGCAGAGCTGGACCTCTGCCCAGTGCCCTGCACTCTCTGTCCGGTGCCCTGAGGCCGGAGTTGCAGGCAGTCCTTGTGCCTGTGTGTTTACATGCTGCCCCTCCTCTGGAAGCAGCGGGATTCCAGCGTTTCTAAACACGGGTCTGCCCCTTCCTGTATCTCAGCCAGCCGCACGGGCACTCACAATGTTTAAAAATTACTTTTATGTTTTTAATTGCACACACTTGTGGGGTGACAATTTGATACTTATGTTCAATGTGTGATCACATCAGGTGGTTAGCATTTCCGTCTCCTTAAACATGTACGTTTCTTTGTCCCGGGAAGGTTCACACTCCTCTCTTGTAGTTTTTGTAAAATACACAGTCGCCTGGTGTGAACCACAGTCACCCCACTGTGCTGTGGAACAGGACCCCCGCCTCGCTCTGTCTCGGCACCCACCTCCCACCCTCTTGCTTTGGGGGGCTGATGGCTGGTCTTGTTCCTTGCAGATGGCTTACCAGAAGTTGAGGCTGACCTACGCGTGCCTGCTGTTGGTGGGAGCGCTGTGCTTGTATTTCAGCATGGCTCCTTATAAAGAAGAGCCTTTCATTTTCAAGAAAAAATACGGGACGTTCCTTCAGCTCCCAGATATCGATTGCAGGCAAGATCCTCCCTTCCTTGTCCTGCTGGTGACTTCATCCCACAAGCAGGTGGCCGCTCGCATGGCCATCCGGAAGACGTGGGGGGGAGAGAGGACAGTGAGCGGGAGGCAGGTGAGGACATTCTTCCTCCTGGGGACCACGGCCAACCAGGACGAGATGAGCGCGGTGGCCCAGGAAAGCCAGCAGCACGGCGACATCATCCAGAAGAACTTCAGGGATGTCTACTTCAATCTGACCCTCAAGACCATGATGGGCATGGAGTGGGTCCACTACTTCTGTCCTCAGGTGGCTTTCGTGATGAAGACAGACTCGGACATGTTTGTGAACGTCCACTACCTGACCGAGCTACTCCTGAAGAAGAACAGGACAACGAGGTTTTTTACAGGCTTCCTGAAGCTCAACGAGTATCCCATCAGGAAGAAGTTCAATAAGTGGTTTGTGAGTAAATATGAATACCCCTGGGACAGGTACCCGCCCTTCTGCTCTGGCACCGGCTACGTCTTCTCCAGCGACGTGGCCAGCCAGGTGTACAACGTCTCCGAGAGCGTCCCCTTCATTAAGCTTGAGGATGTCTTTGTGGGGCTCTGCCTGGCAAAGCTGCAGATCTGGCCCGAGGAGCTCCACTCCCAGCAGACGTTCTTCCCGGGGGGGTTACGCTTCTCCGTGTGCCGCTTTAGGAAGATCGTGGCCTGCCATTTCATCACGCCCAAGGAGCTGCTGATCTACTGGCATGTCCTGGAGACCTCCCAGGAAGACTGTCCCGAGGTCTGAGTGGAGCCCAGTGGCACGTGGGTCCAAGATCTTGGATGGCGCTGCTGAGAATCCTTAGGGGTACAGAGGGAGTGAGAAGGACGCAGGGAGCAGGACCCTGAGGACACTGTTCTCAGGGCTCCAGACCCAAACTAGAATGATGTGCGCTTAAACCAAGCTGCCCCAGGCAACACCCGCCCCACCTCTGGAGCACTGGGCTCCGGCTGAGCACCTGGTCCCCTCCTGCATTGGCTCATTTCAGGGCTCAGAGTCCCTGGGGGGTGGTGGGCACTATCCTTCCTATTTTACAGATAAGGAAACAGTAGCCACAGAGGTACAGCCTCTGTCCCAAGGTTTATAGCCAGCAGAGGTTGACCAGGCGTGGAAGCTGAGCAGGAATCTGGCTGGCAGCCCCCAGTGGGGTCCCTCTGTCCCTCGGGAGGGGGTGGTGTTGTAAAGGCTGAGGAAGGCCTGGCAGCTGCACCCCGGCTCCCTTTCCAGAGAGCCCCTCCACTCCTGGCCTGATGCTTTCCAGTGCTGAGACAGACTCCAGTCTGTCTCCAGTTCCTTACGTCCCTGGGGATGACGGAGCTGGGCCCTGAGTCCTCATTAGCGACGCGGTACTCAGCCCTGGGCACATCCCAGAGGGTAGGCTGCCTGCGTGGCTGCAGCCCTCGCCCAGCTTCAGGTGGCAACTGACTTGACGACTTCGTCGGTTAGACTCAGAAGCCGCTTCCAGGGTTGCCTGTTGCGACTGGCCACACTGCTGATGTCCCCAGGGTTGTGATGCCTGTCCCCAGCCTTCAGGGACACCTGGTCTCTTTGCTGCAGGTCAGTGGGACGAGCCATAGCCCTGGAGTACTTTAGGGCACTGAGTTCAGACTGAAGGCCGCTGGGCATGCTGGATTCCAGGAACTCGCTGGGCATTTGGCTAGACCACAGCAAGCCGCTTTCAAGGACCCCGTATTTACAAAACACTAAGGTGGACCCTGGTCCCAGGGAGTCTCCCTGTGTCTACGTCCCCCAACCTGACCCCAGGTCATCGTCACTGAATTTATCACATGGCCAAGGACCCACTGAGTCCTGTGGTTTGGAATTTAACCTCTTTTCTCTCCCCCAGAGGATTGTGTGAGCCCATTTTGCAGGGCTGCATGAACAGAGGGCACTTTTCTGCTAGGACTGTGACCATTTGGCCACTGCCAGTGACATACAGAGTGTCTTGCTCCTCATTAAGGAACTGTGTGTTGTGGTTGTTTTTTTTTTTTTTAACTCTTTACTTTACCAGGCTTCATGCGGCTGTGGAACTGGCCAATGTCGGGCTGAGCTCTTGCTGGCCCTCAGGAAAGGCAATGTGCTGCAAAGGTCTGGTGCCCATTCTGCACGGCATTTCTCGTGTCTGGCTCGTGCTGTGGCCTCGTGGATGTTCTCCTTGTCCTGGCTGCTCTGAACGTGCGGGCGGGTTCAGAAGCGCCTGCGCCTCAGTGGGAACATGAGGGGTGCAATGGTTTCTGGAGCCCAGGTTTTGCCATGAGCCTGGGCCCTCGGTTCCCGGGGACTGACTGCCTCTGATTTGTCAGATGATGGTGCTTTGAAGTGAAGGACTGTCTGGCAGGAGGCCAGGGCCTGTGTCCAGTATGGGTCTGTGGCCACTGGTCTCAGTGGGTGATCTGAGGTTGCCGTGGATGGTCTAGCACCAGCCTGAGCCCTTGGCAAAGGGACAGGTGAGGACAGGTGTGGGCTCCTTCCACAGCCTCCGTGTGTTCTTCAAGGATCTTCTGCAAAACCTTGACTCCCACGGTATTTCTTTATTTCTTTATTCCATGATCTAGAACTTGAGGGGACCTTAGTGCTCACCCAGCCCTCCTCCTCACTTATGTAGGACGAGAGAAGCTCAGAGGGACCCAGAGGCTGCTCACGGCTCCCAAGCTGTGGAATGCAGGCTCCTGCTGTTTGGGTCCCAGGACCTGAGAGGAGGACCCCGTGAAAGTGTGGATGGGGGCAGAGAGTCTGTGCTTTCCCAGTGACACCCAGTGGGACTGGAGAAGGGTGGGTTGGTCGCACAGTGGCTTCACTCACGGGCATCAGAGAGGAGTGGTCTCGAGAGCAGACGCGGTGTGCTCTGCCTCATCTGAATGCTCACGACCACTGCCCGGGCAGCTGGCCGCCAGGGTCCGTGGTTTGTAGATGAGGAGTCGCCAGAGAGTATCAGAAACAGGACTCACTGTGTGAGTCACAGCACTGCCCTGGGCCTCCCGGGCTGTCAGCTGGCCCCTCCCACAGTCCTGGGGCTGGCTGGAGCTCACCCGTTGACTGCTCCACCTGCACTCCTGGGGACCCTTCTCAGACTCCTCCTGCCACCACGTGTCACCCACCAGATCCTGGAGAGCCGCGGGGCTGCAGCAGCCTCTGCTTTTGGACTCAAGTCCCAGCTGGTCTCATCTGGAGGCTGGGCCTCCTGCTCTGGACCTCACTCTCCTCCCCTCCAGCCACCTCGCCTCTGTGGGATCACCCCCTGGGCACACAGACCAGCTGCCCCTCCCCGTCTAACAGCAGCAAAGCAGCATGCCACCGCCCCCCCCCCCAGCTGCAGGCTTTGAGCTCCTCCAGGGTCCTCCTGAAATCCCCCCCCCGCCCGTCAGATCACGGCCCCCTCGCCCCACAGCTTTGGCCTTGCTGGGGCAGGTCTCAGTCCTCCTCTGACAGGGCCCGGCCGGGAGTGGTCACTTCCTGGACAGTTCTAGGCACCAGCGTCCAGGACGCCTCCTGGCCTTGGCTCCTGTCCTCGCCAGTTCCATCTCTTCTGCCCGTTCTTCCTTTTGCCCTGGCGTCCGGGCTGCAGTCTGTGGGCTCAGCCCAGCTGCCCTGTCCTTGGGGAGACCCAGTCCTCGGGGCCTCGTCCTGTGTTCTAAATGTCCTCGCTGTGTTGGTGGCACCTCGCTTGTCCCCAGCGGGTCCCCTCTGGTCTTCCATCTCTCATGTCCCCTGTCTACATACTTTTACATGGTGAGCACGGCCACCCCAGCCCCTCCCCGCTGCCTTCCCTGTCTCAGTGAGTGGACACTCTCTCAGTGGCCACTCCATCCTTCCTGTGGCTCCAGGCAAAAGTCTTGCAGGTGTTGCTGGGCTGCAAGGCTGCTGCCTCTGCCCTCACCCCGGGTCCACCTGGTGCCCCTCACCACTGCCACCCTTGCTCACCCGCCACCTCTCACCTGCAGTCCTGCAGTGGCCTCCCGCCTGGACCCTCAGCCTCCCTCACTGCACCGCCTTAGTCTGTCCCCGGAGTGAGTCTCCAAAAGTGTAGAGCAGAGAATCTGCTATGACTTGACTGTGTCCCCGAGTTCTTGTGTTGGAAACTGAATCCCCAATGCAGTGTGTGAGGAGGCGGGGCCTATTGGGGGCGGGGCCTAACCGAGGCACTCAGGTGTGGAAAGCTCCGCCCTCATGAGTGCACTAGTGTGGTTATCGCAGGACTAGGTTGTTAGGAAAATGAGTTGCCCCCCTCCCTTGCTTGCTGGCTCTCCCCTCCTCTAGCTCTTCCACCTTCCACCGTGAGATGATGCAGCACAGAGGCCCTCTCCAGATGCTGGATCCTGCTCATGGACTTTGCAACTTCCAGAACTGTGAGCCAAACATACTTCTTTTCTTATTAAGTTATCCGCTTTCAGGTGTTATGTGATAGTAACACAAAATGGAATCTCACTTCTTTGCTCAGAGACCCCAGTGGCTTTCCGTCTCCCAGTGAAAGCCACATTCTTCGTACCGTCATCTGCCTGTGTTGTTCCCTTACAGTCTCCCCTCACTCACTCTGGCTGTTCCCTGACCAGCAGTACTGCTCCGGCCGCAGCGGTCTCTGTGCCCTTTCTTGAACATCCACCTCGGGGTCTTTGCGGACTGTTCCCTCTGCCAGGAAAACTCTTTCCTCAGATATTCTCATGGCTCACTCCTTTCCCCCTCAAATCAGATGCTTCCTTCTCAATGAGGACTACCCCGACCTCCTTATAAGAAATCGCCCCTCTCTCCGCGCGCATCCCTCCGTGCCCTGGTCTGACGAGGCAGCACTGTGTGTGACCGACGACGAGCCTCCGTTGTTTATCGGTCACGTTCACTTGATGTGGGTGTGAGCTTCGTGGTCTCTGCTTTCCCCGCGGACACACACTGAGTTCTTGGCGGGTTCTAGCTCGGGGTAGACGATAACAAGTTTCGTTGAGTGGAACCAGATTGACCTTCATGGACGGTGTTTAGAGGGAAGAGGTGACCCTGGACTGGAAGAGTGGAGTCTCCATGACACGAATGCACTGGGTTCCAGCTGAGTCCGTGAGTGCGTGTGTGTTACCGTCCCCCTAACCAAAGACAGGGACCTGCTCTACGGCAGTGCCCCCTGACCTCTGTGAGGGGCAGCCTCACGTGGCAAGGCAGACAGGGCGCGTGGCCTGGGGGCCCGACTTCAGCCCCACGGGCCGCCATCTTGCCTCAGCCACACCCGCCTTCCTCTCCTTGATGATTTTAGCAATTGGCCCCTTTTCCTCAGCCCGTGGACTCTTAGTTCCTGAGGAGAATGACCCAGAACCATGGCCCTGGGGCCCCCCGATTCTCCAGCCTTCCTGTCCGGGATGTGTGGGCCCCAGGTCACCCTCCCTGTGTGCTTAGATGCCATCAACTGGAATGAGCGAGGAAGCCCTTTCCAGGGCAGGGGGGGTGGCTGAGCTTCTTGAGAAGGGAGCCGTTGAGATCCGGCCCCTTCCCCTTATTTTTTGCATGGAAAGCCTGGGTTGTGGGAGCTGGTGCCTCAATTCTGTGCCCAGTGGCAGTGGAGGAGAGTGGACCTCCTGACCCTCATCTTGGCACAGAGGACAGACACCTTGCTATACAGCTTATGAGAAAATTCACTCCTGCTCGTCTGAAAACACACTGCGGTAGTCGTACACCCCGCTGGGTAAAGAGGAGCGAGAATCCAAGACGGCAGACACTCGCAGGCCCCCCCCGAGTCTTGCCCCCAGTTCAGACGTGAGCCTCATCCCCGGCTCCAGAGCGGTTTTCAGAAACGGCAGGTCTAATGACAAAGCCCAGATGTCCCGAGGGCAGAGCGTCCTGGCCTGGAGTCAGTGAATGTGAAGGCCACACACCTGCAGGCTGCAGGGAGTGACGTGTGGCAAGAGCAGCAGCTGTCCCTGCTTCGGACGTCACTGCCCATTTGATGAACTTCATGGTGACCTCTGTTTGCAGTTACCTTCGCCACGCCACCTATGAGCGGCCTCAGAGGCGAGCCCCAGCTCCTGCCGGGTGTCCACCTCTGCCCCAGCTGTGCCAAAAGCCTGGCCCGGAGCTGAATTGAGCTTCTAGGCAAAATTATTTAATTCTCAAAAGTTTTTGATTCCTTTGAGTATGGTCATTTTTGTGCAAAAAATAGGCACATGCGTACTTTGGCTTTTAAAGTAATGTATTAAATTTTTTCCCCCCTCAAGTTTTAGACTTCAGCTAAGAAAAGGAAAATATAAAGGGACTCTGGGTTTAGCAAGAATAATGTGCGTTAATATACTTGTGTGCACGGACCCAACCTCAGTCGGAATGAGTGAAATAGACCATGGAAAGGACAGCTGTTGGGTATTTAGAATTTAGTCTGAGGCTCCAGCATGATGCTGGGGGACCCTTCATCCCCAGGACCAGGTTGTCTGGAGTACAGTCTGCAAGTTCTGTGGGATCGCTGCCTGGGTCTGCATTTTAGCTCTCTCACCTACTTGCCTTGGTTTTCTCATTTGAAAAATGGTTCCTACCTCCGGGGATACTTGTGTGGGTTAAATGAGATGGAAGAGACATTGCTCAGCATGCCGTAGTAAGGTGCTCAATAGATGTAGGTGCTTGGGATCATTGTCAGTGCTTAGGCTGTGCCTTGGGGTGGGCGGTAGGGTGGTGTAAATAGTGCTCTCGGTGTGCACCACCAGGCATGCTGACCTGTGTGCAAACCAAGATTTTTGCAGAGTGCCCTTAGGCCCTTGCTCCTTCCCTTCCTTTGAATCCTTCCTGCAACTCTTGGAGGAGTTCTTCTGTCCTTGACATTCTTCGAAGTCACACAGCACTGTGTTCTGGACATGAGTTCAGAACATGTGAAAATCTGACCAAAGCAAAGATGGGAGGGAGGGTGTCTTAGAAATCATGTGCCGTGTCCAAAACCAACCCCAGTAAACCTTCTTTCATAGATGAGGAAACCGAGGCTCAGAAAAATGGAGTGACTTTGCCAAG